GCTCGGCTCGAGGTTCGGCTCGTGTTTCGGCTCGATAGTCTAGACGCATCTTTACATTTATATTTATATGAAGATATGGAAAGAAAAAAAATATAAAAAAAAATTAAATTAAATTAAAATAAAATATAAAATTATGTTGATGTTAATTTATAATTTATAGCGGCTTGTGAACATTATTAGGCAGCATATGGATGAAAAAGAATATTATGTTATTCCGTTACAAAAACAAGTAGCATTGACAGTTTGGATATTAGCAAAAGCAGAATCATTTTTGGCAGTTGGTTTGACATGGCTCCTAGTACAGCACACTACTGTTATGCAAACATAATTAGAACATTGTCTTCATTGTTGGGCACATATGTCAAGTGACCAAACGAGGCAGAAATCCATACTATTTCAGAAGTAAGTATAGTAATTATGGATGGGTAAAGTACGAGTATATAAAATATTGTATTTAAATGAAATTACGATTAATTTTAGATATTGAAGTAATATTTTTATGTATATACATATATTTATGTCCCCACGTATGTATACATAAAATAAGTTACATAAGTACTTGTATTGTTATATATATATGTATTTTTTTAAATAATTGCATACATATACAGCAACAAAAATGTAATGAACAACATAATCTCTAAATGTAATGAACAATATAATCTAAATAAGATATGAACAAAAAATAAATATTTCATTTCATAAACAATATGCAAACACAAAAATAGTATTAGAAAAAACATTTTGCATGTTAAACTTTAAACTTCTTTTTCTTTTTTTTGTTTCTTTATTTTAACGAAATACTTCTGTAATATTTTACTAATTGCGCACTATAATCAATGACCATCATCTTGTGCAGCACATGCTTGCTGTTGCTTTTGCGTCTATTGCTGTTGTTGATTTTGTTTAACGGAATCTGTTGTCATGGGATTTTTTGGTATTTTCTGTGTTAGATCAATTAATATGTTATTACGTTCTGTTTGTAGCTTTACCATTTTTTTAATTGATTTACGCAATTTTTTGGCTTCACGTAATTTGTCTTTCTCAACTTGTAAAGCGTTTTTTCTAAATGCATCATAGTTTCTTTTGCGAATGTTAACCTTTGTTGTCTTATCTGTAAAAGAAAAAATCTTACTGGAGATTATATAAATAAATATACCATAACCAACAAGATATAAATACTTTACACGGTCGGAAGCTGGATTAAGTGCTTAAAAAATTCAATACTGCATATGTATATTGAAAATTGCGCGCCAAATTTGTCGGATTTTAAAACACAATTCCGATAGAGAATTATGTATATAGAATATTAGTATAATACAAAACAAATAAAAAAAGGGCACAGAGCTAAGCTCTTTTTTTTATTTGTTTTGTTTTATACATGTGTTGAGCCTTGTTATTACTTATTAGCGTAATAATTTTATGCTGGAGGGCAATTTGAAAAGATCTTAATAAAGATCTGATAAACATATTTTTTAAATCTTACATGTATCACGAGTAGTAGTCTCTTTCCCATCTACATGATGCGATATCGGTGTTTTCTTTATCCATTAAATTCGACAACTCAGAACACGTTCGACTAAGAGATGGCAATTCTTGTCTATCTGGATTTATTACTTCGTTGTTCTCTGTTATGACGGTCATACTGCTCAGTACATTATCCATGGCAATAGATTTATCGCTGTCAAATATATTACAAAAGGTATCATAGTATTCCCATGAAATTGCACCTCCTCCAGTACGAGTTTTCTTATTATTATCATGTATCTTTAAATAAGTTTTTTTCATGTTTCGAAACTTTTTATCCAGGACTTCGGTATTTACTATATAACCATATTTGGTAAATTCATTTTTTATTTGAATCCATAATGATTTTTTTTATTGTTTGGATTCCGAAATTTAATTTTTCTTTTTTCGTATTCGTTTAACAATAATTGTATCGTATTGTGGGTCCATATGAATGTGTCATCTAAAAAAAGATATAAAATATTAGGTCAACTTAAATATTAGACTAATTCTCTTCTGCAGGACTTCGAAGATCGCTCTCAAGGAATACCGGGAATAATCGGTGCGATCGATGGTTGCCATATTCAAATAATGGAACCACATAACAATTCAGTGGATTATTATTACAATAGAAAAGGTTTCCATAGTGTTATTTTGCAAGGCGCGTATGCAATAATAGAAAATTATTTATAGATGTACATATAGGTGTGCCAGGAAGGGTTCATGATGCACGCGTTTTCCGAAATAGCCCTCTCTTTCAAAACATAATGTATCATAATTTAATTCCAGCAAGATATCATTTAATTGGGGATAGCGCTTATCCATTAAGTCCATTTTTAATGATACCATTTAAAGATAATGGTCATTTATCACAGGAACAAATACGATACAATAAAAAGTTAAGTTCTATTCGATCGAAGATAGAAATGACTTACGCTTTACTAAAGGGAAAATTTAGAAAATTAAAATATTTGGAAATATACAACTTAGATTTAATTAATTATGCCATTGCATCTGCGTGCATTTTACATAATTTTATTATAATGGAAGAAAGTGATGATTACTTTGATGATGAGATAGAGGAGGATAATGAGGAGATAGATCAAATTGAAAATAATGAAATAGAAGATTTTGATGAAATAGAGCATCTTAATGAGAGCGGTCAAAAAAAAAGAAACATGATTGTACAAATGTTGTAAAATATAAAAAATAATATATAAATTTATATTAATATTTTTGTTTTACTTACTATTTTCATTCTCTGTAGCAGTTTGTGGCTAAAATTTTAGTTGCGATCTATTATCATGTACATATTGCGATGCAAAAATAGGATCTGTAACAAGAAATATTTTATGTACATTTTTAGACATATATAGAGTCATGAATAAATATTCATAATCAATTCTAATATTTAAGACCGTCTTGAATACAATCTTAGTAGAAACCAAACAGGATTTGCAGCTCTTGGCTCAGTTTCTGTTGCCAATCATCAGATCCTTGGGATCTTCTTCTTGAAAAGAAACGTGTACAAAAGTCTAATGAAATACTACAGTATATGTTAGTATACTATAATATTTTCCTAGTTTTCATTTCAAAAAGTTTTTTTTTCAAGAATAGAACCGCTGCTGTTTCTATCTATCAATCTACTGACATCATATATCAGTAAGTTTTGTCGAAAAATCCTGACAAGGGGGAGCTCAAGCTAGTATATCACGGTTTGTTTGAAAAAAATTGAGGTGATACTTTGAGACAAAAAAATTTACACGTGTTTCGGCATTTTACTCCATGAGCCCCGATTGGTCAAAAAAAATTAAAAACCAAACAAATTTCTGCGCTAGTGATTGTCAGTTTTGCTTGAAATTTTTCAATTCATTTTTACTTACAAAACTATTACTCGTATAAAAAAGTGATCTTTGCTGGGTCAATTATCAATGACAGATCGTCGTAGTCATTTAAATACATCTTTGCTCGTTTGCTTCTTTTTCTTTCTTAATCGATTTTTAAATGATTTGTCAATACTCAACACAGAACAGACTGTATGTATCAAATATATATATATATATATAAATTAATAAATATTCTCAGCTCATATAAAATCAAAATTATAAATTTTATATATATATATATATATTGTACTATTATATTTATCAAAATACATCTTTGCTGGGTTGCTCCTTTTCTTTTTTTAATCAATTATTAATACACACAGTCTGTTGTATTTGTTGAGTATTGACAGATTGTCGTAGTCATTTAAATTGTACATCTTTGCTCGGTTGCTTCTCTTTCTTTTTTAATCGATTTTTAAATGACTACGACGATTTGTCAATACTCAACACATAGAACAGGCTGTATGTATTCTTTTTTAATCAATTATTAATTAAATGACTACGACATTTGTTATTAAAATACATCTTTGCTCGGTTGCTTCTTTTTCTTTTTTTAATCTATTATTAAATGATATGCATATAAAACAATAAGTTTTAGTAAGTCGTGACATAAATGACGATGTGTTACTTCTCACTTCTATCATACTGTACTATTATATTAAAATACATACATCTGTGCTCGGTTGTTGCTTTTTCTTTTTTAAACAATTATTAAATATTTTAATATATTACAGTACACAGTATATAAGTGAGGAATAATGCATCGTCATTTATGTCACGACTTACTAATTTATGACTACGGTGTTAGTCAAAGTTATAATTGATCGTTACATTACCGTCTCAACCAATCAATGTTTAATCAATTTTTTTTTTGGAACCTGGTCCTTTGTGTAGGAATCCTTCGACGTTGAAGCATGTTGCTAAAAGAAAGTTCAAATATTAAAATTTATTATGTATGTTTATTAATTGTGATGAAGAGAGAATATAATAGAAAAATTACCTTGATTCTTTGGTTTGAAGAAGACTGAAAATTGCCCAATTGATCTTTGGGTTTCAAAGAATCCTTAAAAAAATTATTTAATTTTAATGTTTATTTATGTATTTAAGATCGGAATTTCTCGTCAAACTGTATATATGAGATAGAAGCGAAAAATCAAGTGTAACATGCAATATCCTTACCTGGATTTTACGTTTTTTACGTCCCTAATTATCGCAAGCTGATGATAAGTCAAAAAGGAATCGCATAAAGCGTTGCTGCCGTACGAATGCGCCAGCTCTATTGCCTCTTTTTCTTTTCCGATCCTGAGAATTATCAGCAATGTTACTTGACTGTAATCATAAATATAAAAATTAAAAGTACAATCTATATTTTTTATAATATATAAATGTATGTATTTGTGTGTTAGAGTGAGTCATTTTTAATACTAGATTTCCATTGGTAGAAATGGGTACAAGAGTATGAGTGAGTGAGAGAATATTGTATGACTTACTACAGATTCTTTATTGCTTGATTGGAAGTGGTCTATAAAATCTTCTCCGTCTGTGAAGTCTTCTCCGTCTATGAAGTTCTCTCCTTCTATCTATATATTATTTTATATAGTAGTATAGTTTTACATTATGTTGAAAGGATAACCATTGAATTATGTATAATTTGATTGAATGTAATTGCGGGACATAAAATTTATATGAAACTATGTATAACTTGATAATTACATATGCAACTACAAGAAAAATAATTGTTTAATATTGGATAAAATCATTAATTTTATTAATAACTTCATATATAGTGAAAAAAATTATTTTTCATCAAATAAAATCGTATGAAATCAAATTAAATGAAATTATGTAATTTGTGGAACAATATTTCAGTTAGTGGTTATAAACTTAACCTCATTTTTCTTTAAAAGTAATAACTCTAATTCTAAAAATTACAATAAAAAATTATCACAAAAGAATTATCACGCGAATATGTTTTTATTCGTATGTAGAATAACTTATTTATAGAATTTATTTTTAAATTATGTTTCTTACTTACTTATTATACCATTCTCTGTGAAGCTTTGAACATGATCAATCATGAATACTGAGCGATGTGAGCGACAAAAATTTACGCTCACCAAAATTGATGAAAAATGATTAGCGCTCTCAGTGAGCAACTAGTAAGCGCTTGCATCCAACACACGATTCTAGGGTGCTCACTGAGCGCTCAGTAATTTATCAAGAGAGCATTTCGTCTAGTACGTAGAATCGCTCACTGAGCGCTCATGGATAGCGCTCACTAAAGTCACTAGATTTAGTGACTTTAGCGCTCACTAGACACAGATTATCTAAGAAAATAGATAACCAACTCCCATACTTTAGTTTGGAACAGCGTTTTGGAACGCCATCTGGGCGAAACATGAATAAACTAACATTCAATATGGCCGACCTCGAATACAGCATATTTAGCAGCCTCAGCTTTTAGAAAGCACAGTCATCACAAATGTCGTTTTATTCTTGATATTCAATAAATAACAAAGATAGAACGACATTTATGCCGACCGTGATTTCTAAAAACAAAATAGCTTTATTATTAATAGTAAAATTTAAAAAAGAAGATAGTTGCAAATTTAAAGTTATAAAATTAAGAATTATATTAGTGATGAATGAAAATTATATATTAATTGAAAATTAATATATAATAAGATTAATTGAAAATTATATTATTTTAATTATGGCACAATTAAAGAGCATGTTATAATAGTTATTATATAACTTTACAATTACAACTTTAGTAAAAATATATAGCTAACAGAATATATTTTTAGACATTAATATGCATATTAAATTCAAATACTTTTATTATTTAAAGATTTTTTATATAGATGTAAATATATATATTAATATATACTACAAATAAATACAAAAATATATCTTATTTAAGGATTCACATTTTCTTTTTATACCGTTTCTTTTTATAATGTTCGATCGCTTGGTGAAATATAATATTTCTAGATACATGTCGAGTATCACGTCCGCATAGAATTCTGTTTATCGTCTTACAAAATGTATATAAAAACAGTTTTGTGATTTTTCGTATTATATTAAATTTTAAT